TACTTAATTACATTATTGTCCTTATTAAATTATTTATATATAATAAAAGTTAATTTATTAATTAAAAAAGTTTGAGGTTATTGGGTTGTTCTCGCATTCTCGTAAATCACAGGGGTTCTCGTTTGAACCTCCACCTATATATATATATATATATATATATATATATATATTAATTTTAATTTATATACATATATATACACACACATATATATAATATCATTAAAAGAAAATAGTAACATTAAAATTTAAAAGACTTTTATCCACTTTACCTCAACAATCCAAATAAAGCTTACGAAAAAATCTAGTTTATTTATCTAAAATCGTGATTTTAGTTGTATGATGTTTGAATTTCTGTTTAGTTTATATTGTAATCTAATACATTGTTTGTAATTGGTTCGATTATGTTTGAGACATTTAAACTCACATCATTAAAAACATTGTAATTTACTTTTAATTGTGAAAATTAGAATATTGTAATTTTTTCCAGATCGGTTTCAGGTTCGGTTATAACCAACGGTGAAAGAGATGATTTTTACCCTTAACGGGTTCCCCAACAGGGATCGGGAAAACCGCGGGGCCCAATGGGGATCCCCAATAAGATCCCCGAAGGGATCGGGACGATTACGGCAATGGTTTTAGCTATCGATTTCGGGGATGGGGATACCAATACCTGGCCTGAACCCGGGCCCGTTGCCATTCCTATTTTGATATTTAAATAAAATAAATTTCCGAGATAAATAATTTATATAAAAACAAAATATATATTTTTTAATTATGAAATTAACCAAAATAACCACTTTATATCTTTTACATTAACAAAATAACCAATTTTCAGAGATTTTGAAGAAAATAACCATACAAATCGATTTTGACTATATGGGGGCGATCTTGACTAGATGGTACGGAGTGGTCCCACATGTATCTGATTTGGGAGGACAGAAATTAGATATTATACATGATATACCAAAAATCACCTCCCTCTACCCTGACGATCTTGACACTATTTTTGTCTTCTAGTGAGGACAACTTATGATGCACCGATTTGACACTTTAGATGTGATTTTCAAGGCATGGGGGGCGATTTTTATTGGTAGTTTGTTTTTTAGGACCAAATGTAGTATATATATAAATCTTGTACTATTCTCTATATAATTGTAGTGATCCAAACACTTCTACTCTCACAACCCTTAATTCTACGCAATACACCATCACAATCCTTAACACAAAAATGAAATAACGTCAAGTTTTACAATTTTTACTATTTTTTAAACGCATAAATGAAATCACAATGTTTTTATATTTTCTTATCAAAACTATAGTTTTTATGAAAAACCGATGAATGTTAATATTTTTTTTGTGATTGTTGATACGGAAAAAAAAAATTCATGATTTCTTCATTTGAGATATGGATGGGTCTCACGTGTATACCATTTCGAGGTCAAAATTTTAATAAGAACCAACAAATGTTTTTGTATTTTCTTATCAAAAATATAGTTTTTATGAAAAACCAACGAATGTTAATATTTTTTTTATAATTGTTGATACAATAAAATTATTTTTATGATTTTTTCATTTGAGGTACAGATGGGTTCCATGTGTATATCATTTCGGGGTCAAAAATCTGATAAGGACTAACGATTGTTTTTGTATTTTCTTATCAAAAATATAGTTTTTTATGAAAAACCAACGAATGGTAATATTTTTTAATAATTATTGATACGAAAAAAAATTATTTTCACGATTTCTCCATTTGAGGTATATGTGTAGACCATTTCAGGATCAAAAATCTGATAAGAACGAATGAATGTTTTTATATTTTCTTATCAAAATATAATTTTTAAGAAAAAACCAACAAATGTTAATATTTTTTATAATTGTTGATACGATAAAATTATTTTCACAATTTCTCCATTTGAGGTACAGATGGGTCTCATGCGTATATCATTTCGGGGTCAAAAATCTGATAAGAACCAACGAATTTTTTTGTATTTTCTTATCAAAAATATAGTTCTTATGAAAAACCAACGAATGTTAATATTTTTTTAATAATTGTTGATACGAAAAAAAAAAGTTATTTGTATCTGATTTGGGGGAAAAAATTCAGATATTATACATGATATACCTGATCGCCCCTCGGAGGCGATTTTGATCCTAAAACCATCTTCTAATGCCCTATGATATGATGATGATTTGACAAATCAATGATGATTTGACAACGATTTGACGATCTATTTTGTCTTATTACATAATGGTTTATATAAATAGGCGGGGGGGAGGGGACCGTTATCACCATCCCCACCGTCCACCAACTCCACCATAGAGAAACATACTTCCCGTAAACCGACGTTTATCCCCGTCCATCTACATCTTTCACCGTATACCGACATCTACCACCGTCCATCGACATCCACCACTTTATACTGACATTTATCACCGTCCACCACCGTATATTGACATCTACCACCGTCCAC